CTTGGAAAATGGCAGAGTCCATAAACTAGCTAAACATTCGCTTTCTAGTAACAATGAAGTCTTGTATTCTCTATAGCCATTTTAATCAAATCCTTGTTCACGGAGAACAGCAAGGAAGAGGACTGCATTTCCCAGCAGGAACTGAACAAAGGAAGTCAAGCTCAGCCTGGACTGTTCTTTGCTTTTCCCTGGATTATTTGGGTACATGTGCACGGAGTTTGTTTTGGGATTTGGTGGGTTGTTTTGGGTTGTTTGTGGGTTGTTGGTTTTTTTTTTAAATAGTCATTTTGGTGTTATCTTCTGTCTTAGACCATCTAGGGTTCCCAGACCATGGCTGTGCAACATCAGCCTAGTGTACTAGGTTCTGTTTTCTCTTGCAAACCCTCAAGTTGGTACTGCACTGAGCCGTCCTCTACTACAGTTCTGCATTTTGAAATGCATCCATGAGCACAGTAAAACCAAAATGACTCTCTTCCTGCTCTAACTGAAGTTTTAATTCTCAGTCAGGTACACTTGATACCGACAGGAAAAGCATTTTAAAAAAAAAAGTCAACACTCTAACTCTAGGTTACTTTTGTCCCCGCTTTCCAGAGACACATCTAGTCTGGGGTGTACAAAAGTAAAGGACAGGTTTAACACACTAGTTGCAAAGTTACTTGGAGCTCCCTGACAAAATTGTTTGGGTTCTGTACCTGTTTCTACCCTTATCCAAACATAATTCCCTGAAAGAAAAAAAATACTGTCTCACAGTTGTTTGTCTTAGCCCCTACAGAAACCACACAGAAGCTTCTTGGCAAACAGTGAAAGCTGGCAACAGTGCTGCAACACACATTTTCCTCTGCTCAGTTGCTAGTAGGTGATTTTTTGGTTTGGTTTCTTTTTAAAACACAAGTTCTAGAAACAGCACCTTTATTGTTTCAATGACACTTGAGCATAAGTGGAAGGAACATGTCTAGTGGCAAGAGGAACTTGCTCATGCTAAGTTTTCATACATCACCGATACAGGCAGGCTGATTGCTCAGGTTCCAGCAACACACAAAAAAGGCAGTTGACCTTTACCTAAGATACCTTCGTTAAGAAAACGTATAATCATTTGCATTTTGTTTCTCTGTTTCTGCAAGCCCTGACATTAATTGGCACACGATATTTCTTCTCATCAAGTATCAGAGTATAATATGCTCAAAAACTTAAAATAGCTACCTGATGATTCTGCCACAAGCCTAGTAAGTCTTCAAAAATTAGAGGCTTTTTTACGACCTTCTCCCCTCTCCACTTGCAGCATGTGCTAGACTTCTATGAATATAGTACTTACAAGGGGGTTTAAAAAACAAACCAAACCAAAAAACAACCAACCAAAATAATGCCAAAACATTAAAATGAGGATAATAAGGCCTCCAAGCACTGACTCTCCTTGGCCATGCTGCTGAAACAAAGACAGCAATAACTATGTCGGCTATTTTCATAATATGCACACTCCTCCAGAAAATGGCCTCCGGATAGAAACTTCAGGTAAGCCAATGAAAAATTAAGTGAAAACCACCAACCTGCTGCTACCATGCAATGAAATTGATCCAATAAGGAAAGGGCAAACCACTCCCACTCCCAATCAAATCCCAAATGAGAAATTTACTTTTGATACAGTGAAACCAGGAGGCAGCTGCAAAAGGAACCATCATTAGTAGCCTAAAGTGATAGAGTTTCCTGTAATTTTAAAGCAAAGGAGTCCTGGCATTTTGCAGTTATCTGAAAATCCCAAGAACTGCTCATTGTGTCTAACCTCAAAGCAGGGTGGTGGAGAAGGGGCAGAATTGATTTTGAGGCAGCGTTCACATAGATGGTAGCACATGCCCGGCTACTGGAAGACAGTATTTCCAGGGTAATTTGTATCTACTGGCATGACGGCCCGGAAAACATGACCAGCTCTATGGAATTTCTTCCCCCTTTCAAAGTTGAGCTCTTAAGTCTAGCGGGGGGAGGGGGAGAAGAGAGTTTGAAGCCAGATTCAAAAGGATATTTAAAGTAAAGAAGCCTCATTTAAACTTAAAAAGAACAGCTGTACAGCACTGTCTGTTTCCATACCTAAGCACAGACTTTCAGCTAAATCTCACAAGACCATAGTACTTGGCAGTTTTGCATGACTGGCCCTCAAACAGAATTTAATTCCCTTAATTAAATTCAAAAAACCCAAACAACCCACCATAAAAAAGCAAAACGTATATTGAGCACTACAAAAAGTAGTTTTATCAACAGTACAAGTCTTAATGCATATGGGTTTTGAGATACTTGTTAATGAAGACTGTTCAGCTATTCAGTGTCAGAAAAATTCTTCCAACCCAGTTAAGCTAATGCCAAGCATTTTTATCAGGAATCACAATGGAAAAACCTGTCAGCTTTCTTACTGGAGACAACCAAGAGCCATTTACAGAAGCACTCTGCACAAATAAAGGAGGTTTAAGTGTTTTATTTGTCCATTTGGAATGATTAGTATTTATAATCAACAACATAAATCCACCCCTCACTGAAAGACCTGACAGCTTGTTACTGCCAAACATATTACAGCCTACTGAAAGGTGAAGCATTACAGACATATAAAGATGAATAACATTATATCACCATTAAATCACTCACTCTGTTCATAACAGTTTAATCCTGTAACATTATAAATTAAGATTAGGAAAAAATCAACACTTCCAGTGATGATACACATTGTGTTTAATACACAATATAACAGTACAGTTTATTACACTAGTGCATTAAAAGGTAAAAAAAGCCTGGACAGCCCCTCTGGACTATGCATCATTGCTGATCCCTCTTACACAAACACTGCCTGCAGCCACACAAGCTACCAGGAAGCCTCCAAGAAGTGGCCTATTAGGAAAATCCATCACAGCTAAGTTTATTCTGACAACTACTTCTCCTATACTAATACATATTACTTGAACATGAGGACCTAAAATTAGATTCCTTCACATCTGGAGTTACCAGTGACACTGCTTCTGAAATCAAGCAAGTAACAGACAGATTTGCATCCATACTTCAACTATCAAATGAAACTGAAGTGGAAAAATGGCTTTCATTTTCACCCAGTTAAGTAAATAGTTACTTAATATTTGAAAGCCTTCTACAAAAGTTTTAAAGTTTAGTGGTTTAGACCATTTCTCAAGGTTACCAGCACGTATGAAACTTGCACGTATGAATGATTCATAACCAGTCAAAAGCAGTATCAGTACAATAGCTAAAAGATAAAACATTTTTACATATTAGAGATAGAATTTTGAGATCTCTTCTCCAAAAGCTAATTCGGAAGATAACATTTATTAAAATTTTCAAGTACTGATTCATATTATATTAACTTTATATTAGATGACAACTTCAAAGACTGAAGTTAACACTGGCATCAGCCCTCAAAATAAAGTGGATCAGGATAATAATCTGTATAAATCAAAGCATACTGCAGATCTGTTTCTCAGGATAAGATATTGCCTGCTACAGATAGCCTTATACAGCTATTAGTGCCCTATCAAGCCTGCGGAACTACTTGCTTGTCAATCAAATAGGATGTGAATAAAAGTGAATGTGAAGAGTAGATGGACACAGGAGGCATGTTTCGTTACGGCAACAGACATTGCCTTCATTAAAACGGACCAACAGCAAACAGGAAAATTCAGAAGCTGACCGAATTTGGAATGTGTGCCATGAAAATCCCACTCAGTACCTCATTATATTCTCAATGAATATTTTTTTAGTAGGACAGTAACTAGGAAAAAAAGTAGTGAAGCAACAGCAAAACAAAATCCCTCCTTTCCAAGGATCTGAAATTCTCTCTGAACTTTACTCTTCAGGGCCCAGGAAAAGTTTAAAACCAGACACAATTGTGTCTATACCACCGCCTGGCACACTAAACAATTCCATCTGCGTCCACCTGCTGTCACTTACTTTACAACCCGATTGCAGGCTCTTAAGGGCAAAGGCTATTTTTTTTTTTTTAATTTTCTTTTATACAGGGGATGTGACAATATCCATATCTCCCCTGTGCTACAGTAACAGAATAAGCTAAACATTGTTGTTACACTTTAATTATTTTCTGCTCTAAGCTTTAGATCCATCAAAAGCAAGAGATGGTTGCCCAAGTTTCTAGGAACCAAAGGCCAGTTTTTCCTCATGTGACCTGACATGAAAGTAAGCACTCTGCTCGCCAGCATCCATAAAAACAAAACAAAACGAACAGGAAAAACCCACAAGGCTATAATTAACAAACTGCACATTGTGGCATCTTTTTATCCATTTCAACCCTTTTATTGGAAAGAGGAGGTAGTTTAGAAATAATCCTGCACTGCCTGATCAGCCATAAGGCACATTTCCATTCCACTGGAAATACAATCTATTTTAAGGCTGGCAATGAAAGTTGGAAGAAGTAATCAAATGCACTTGGAGTACTGTAATGTCTAGCCTCAGACTGCAGCAGAAAAACAGACAAAACTTTTTTTTTTTTATTACTATAGAAAAACTAAGTACTTCATCCAAATGGAATTTGAGAATGACAGAGCTACAAAAGTGGTGGGCCACTGGCTCATAAGGCTTACTGGCATTCAATTCTTTCCTTCAAAGTGAAAGGAACGGACACAATCATGTAAGTGGTAAAAATGCAGCTTGAGATGCCTCTGTCTTCTGTTAACTTCTAAAGTTATCTTAAAAGCAAACTGGGAAGTTAAGATGATGTTATTAAAAGAGATTTAAAATCCATTATTTTATTCTCATCATTACCTTGAAGTAAAATTTACCCCCAAAAATCGAAGGGCAAAAACCCCATAGCAACCAGGGGATAAAGTTTCAGTCATGGTGATACCTACTAAAGTAAACCTTTAACAAGTCGTAAGGCCAGAATTCAGATGCCTTGCCAACAGATCAATCTCAGCATAGCATTAAGTTGTCCTCAAAGTTTGAACTGGCTCTTATTCAAAGTAACACGAGAACTGCGCTCTCCAAATGCAAAAGCCACCTCAGCTTGCTTCAATGTGAAAGTTGTCAAACTGTGCAAACTCAAACGAGCGAGTTCCAATAGCAGCCCAGCCGTTACTTGGTTTGGAAATGGTGACATTCTCCCAGAGTGGATAACCATTTAACAGTCCTGAGGCAGAAGTGCCCTGTTGAAAAAAGGAAGAAGTTAGCTTTGTAAAATCCAGGGATTGTGCTGACACTGAGCCTGCTCATATGGGAGAAGAGGCAAGGCAGAAAGATGTCAAGTCAACTTTCAACTACATTTCACACATTTTTCCGTGCAGAGGTGCTTCTAAATATTGCATAGAATCCTCCAGTGCCTACCAGCTCTGTGAAACAGATTTAATGTCTTTACAGTGCAGATATAAAAGGCTTATCTTCCCCTGACTCACAGCTTTGCAAACTCAGTGCAGAATCTGAAAGGTAAACTGGTTTTCCTCTTCCACTTGTGTCAGGCTCCCTCAGACAGCCCAACTGTCTTAAGTGGGTATGACACACCTGGCACTGATTCTGCAGAATTAGGCAAGAGTCAAAAGGAAAGAGAGATATTTTAGTTACTAAGCTGAGAGGAAGAAGAGAAAGCAGAACTTTCAAGTATCATGTTGCCATTAAAATTAAAAACAGTTTCAGGAGAAGTTACAATTTAGCTTGCCAGTGTTTCCTGAACAGTATTTAGAATAAAAGTACTTCAATTTACTCGTATTTCTTAATCTGAAAGACAATTACAGACACAGGTACAAGCAAAGAATGCCTTTCCAGGAGTCAGCATGAGAATTCTTTAAAGATGGCTCTGTACTTCTGTCATTACATCAAAGGCATATTTGGTACGAAATACTTTAACAGCACAGATGGAAGTTTGTAGCATCATCATTTTAAAATTACCACTGCTGTTCTGTGTTTTAAATTACTTATTTTCATCTTCAGCACCCCATTCTGGTTAGCAAATGTCTTGGCCCATTTTACAGATGGCAATCACTGTCATAAGTGTGGGTGTAGAAAAGCCAAAACTAAACTATGTCCATTCCAGTGAATGCCTCAGGTACTGCATCCCTTTGTCTCCCAACGTGGAAGCACAAAAGACAAAAAACAGCTTCTAACACCCACTGACATTTTAGAATAAGGGAAAGACTCAGTGCATAATTTTAAAAGAAAGTTTGCTTCAGTAGAAGATGTCCCCAGCTAGGATTCAAGCTTCTCCACGTTTCAGGACACATTGCGATTGCAAAGGTTACATTAGGCAAATGGATTAGTCATTCAGCAGAGGAGCTTAAAGCCTTGCAGCTACTCGCGCCAGTGTCACACTCAGCTGAGCGAACAGGGGTGTTTGAAGTAGAGCTTGGGACTTTCCTCACCGAATGACTATGGCCAAAAGGGGTGGAGGGGGGGTGGGGTGTGTGGAATGTGGACAAGCTTCTGATTAACTGTGGCCCATTTTTAGAAAAACACTATGCCCACTCTTTTTTCAGTGTAGGAAAGAAGGATGGCAACTCATCCGAGTTCCCCAGTCCTTAACTAGCTCCACATACAAGGCCTTAGTATGCAAAGGGAATTGGTGGGAGGCGGATTTGTAAAACAGGCTAGTTTAGTAGTTTACTGACAGTCTTCCAAAGCCAGAAGTCAGGTCATGACCTTTTCATTAGATTAAACAAAAGATTTGCCTCTCTTGCGCTCCTCTATCCAGCTTTCAACTCATCTTTCCAGTTATTTTCTATACCCTCTCCAGAGTTTCTCCACATCTCTCTTTTCAAATACAGGCAGCTGAACTTGATACGGTACTTTAATACTGGTTTAAAATAACAGAGATACTATTTATGTTTTAGATAGGGCAAACTAATGCAAGTAGACAGTCCATAGTATAGCATAGTTTTGTCTAAACCATTTAGGACTGGAAGTTTCATAACTGGTTTTCTAGCTTTTTGCCTGCGTCCTTACCTGAATGTTGAGAGTAAGTGTGTGCCACGCGTTATCCCGGACACCAGAGTTTCCTTTCATTAATATTTCTTCTCCGGCTGCAAAACATGCTTAAGGTTAGCAAAGTGTTACTTCGCCCCTTTCCCGAGACTGATAAATACCAAGCCAGCAAAAGGAAAATACTACCTATTTTCCAGAACTGTTCAGGACTGACATCTTACCAATTTCAGCATGGAAGGTTTAACACACAAACCTGGACTCTGCTTTATAAGTGCATTCTCCTGTTTCGCCAGCACTGCTTTTCCACAGAAATCTCCAATGCTTTTGGGAATTTGGCCTGAGATAAGGATCCCCTCTATTGAGATTACGGGTTCATGAAATGAGACAGTAGCGATTGCTCTGCTTGTCCCATAGGTCCCCTTGTTTATGTACTGTAACTTTTTAAAAACAGAGGGTTTGATTTGCCACATCATGATGTTGCTAAGTTCTAGTCAAAATTCAAGCTTAGCAAAAATTGGGTGTGACTGACACCTGGATGGAAAAATTAAAAAATTAAGTGCTACAAGTATAACCTTCAGTTATTCAGTAGACAGTTTTAGCTTCAAGTTAATTTAACATTCAGGCTCCATTCTAGAAAAATATAAAGATCACTGAAAATGGCCATACAGAAAAAAATTATCATATTGTGTAACAAGTGTCTCAGTCTGAAATAAGGTGGATAATCAAAATCCTCTCATTTCATCTAGGAAAAAATGGTTTTGATAGCCTGAAAAAGTAATTCGGTAATGCTGTTATGTCTTACTAAAAATAAATACTGGAGTCAATCCTAAACATGAGTATGTTTTCACATACAGGTGAAACTTAAGTTGTTATGGAACTAAACATTGCGAAGTTTCCCTAGGGAACACTGGTATGTTAAGAGAAGCTAATGTAAAGCCTTCTTTATGCTATTCATCCATGGTAAAAAAAAAGAAAAAACCAAAACACCACCACAACAACAACAAAAAAAAAAAAGAAAGAAAAATGAGAAACTATAGCTACCAAATAGATGAGACTCTTTTTAAGGTCCAGTACAGTGTGAAACAGGCCATTGTAGGCTGTCTTTATATCAGATATACTGTAGATCTAAAAGTTGCATTTGACTTACCAGAAACTATTGAAAATTTTAATTTATACTCATGAAGTGATAGGAAGTGCATTTAAACAACAAAACCTGCCACTATTTCAAAGCAAATTAAAAAGAACTTTTAGCTACTGATGAAGTATTATGACATACACTCATGTGCCTGTCAAGTGCTCTATAGATGAACATATATGAACATTAGCATCACAAGCAGAATATGCTCTTACTCCACTAAGCCAGACTCACAGTAGAATGCACGATTTGTGGAAACAGTAGGCCACTTATCATTATCACCTAAGTCAAATGTATGTACATTGACTTGCACTGCTCCACGAGACAGGCCGCTGCATTTCACCCAGTATTTTCTTTTTGGGTGTAGTATAAGAATACTGATTATTATATTTCTGTAATTAATAGTATAACAGAATATTTATGAAAAGCAACATAATTTACATTTGCTAGCATAAAATAGGTTTTATCAGCAGAAAAAAACAAAATGCAGAATGCAGACTAAGTAGTCTTCAGGTGCTCTGTTCACATATAAAACGTGGCCATCACTACAACACAATGTGTTAAATTCATAGTCACGACAACTGAATCACAAAAATCTAAGTGTTAGTCATTTTTATCAAGGCTATCAAAATGACATGTGCATATGTCAGCATGCAGGTTAGCAAAGAGCTGCTTACCTAGGTCACCAGTGACTCTGTAGGTGCCATCTGCAAAAACCCAGAAGAAAACTCCTTTGGTACGTCGAACATATATCCCACCATTGTCAACTCTTCCTGCAATAAACACGCCCCCATCACGTCGTTTTTCTATGTAGATGTCACAGGTGACTATCATGTTTACCCTATAAGAGAAGTTTAGAGTTTTAACAAGCAAGGAATCCATTTTTTTGAGCAGACAGCAAGTAGAAGAGTATTCCCTATGTAGTACAGCAACCTTTTTGAGGAGAGGTTTAGCAATCCTAATTGTGGTCTACAGGTGCAAGATGCATAGGACTTGTCTAGACTGGTTTTTCCACCTGTGAGTCCATAGATTTTTTTTTTTCCCCCATGTCTGAAAGGACTTGCAGTATGGATACAGCCACAAGGTCACACATTTAGGAAGTCTCAAACTACCTATAATTATTTATAGAATGTGAAAAGACTCTATGGCATCAGCTCAGCTGATAACTAAATCAAAGAATACTTATTTTAGCAACTCTTCTCCTCACCTCTTACATAATAGTAAGAACAACCTGAGATTTCATTCTAATGTAATGCTATTAGAAGTACCAGATTCTTGGATACATATTTATTACACAAGATTTCTTTCTTGCCTCCCATGTATTAAACGGGAGACCTCCACATCTTGCTTAAGCCATTATAAAGAGATTGGAAGCAATGTAGAATGAGTTAAACAGGAATATTTTCAGGATATAGACAGGTTAAATAAAACCATCAGAGCAAAAACTAACCAATTCAGGAGTAGAATCTAAAAGCTTTCACAAGCACAAGACTAAAATCCAAACTAAAGCCAACTAAATAATCCTGAAAGTTAATTATAATAAGTTGCCATTGACGACCAAAGTCAAATGTCATTCAACAGAGAAATTCAGTGCCAGATTGGTTCAGTATTTCAACAGCATGTAGTAATGGTTGAAAACCTAGGACAAGATGAGCCTTAAACTGAGGATGAAGCAAAACAAATCAGAGAGCATGAAATTGAAGACTATCATTATGAAGAGTTACAGATCAGTCAAACTTGAACAATCAGATGAATATTCAGGAAGTGTGCCTGGTTCTGAAAACAAGATGAAAATTCACAAGCAAACGGAACCAAAATTAAATAATAGAAAGATTTTAGCAATCTCAGCACAGTAGTTTAAGAATACATCCTGTGTAGCTGTTACAGAGATCACTGAGGGATTCACTCAATGAGGGAAAGCTCATTACAGGGGGAATACGAGACTTTGGTTAACAGAGGGCCGCAGAAGAAAACATAAGGTAACTGAAGAACAACCTCCAGCTACAAGATGATGGTGTTCTTCCAGGCTTCAGAGCAAAGTGGTTCAATCACTTGTCTGGGCCAGAAATTAGAAGTGAGAAGCATGTTCTGAAAAAGCATTTGGGGGATCAATGATCTAATCAAAGTGAAAAAACCTGACAGAATGGCTATTTTAAAGAACAAAGCAAAAGAATTTATGCTGGACTTCCAAATAGAAGAAAAAGTTTTAAGCATGAAGTATTATTACTTACTATTACTAAATCAGGCTCTTTCCCAAATGCTTTTCAATTTTAAATAGACATCATGCTAAAACATGCTGCTTGATTCCAAATTACCATCATTATAGGTCCTAGAAAGAACTGCAGTCATAACCATACTCTTATCAAACCAGTAAATCTCAGTTACATTCACCCAGAAATAAAACTGTTTGTAAGTATCAGTTGAATCAAATCCACACAATTCTAGAAATTGCTCAGAAGATGGCAGTCTGCAACAAACATAACTGAATTAACTCCCAGACAATTTCATTGATATGAGATTGATCAAATCCCTAACAATCAAGTAAGGCAATTCAAAATTAAGTAATTTAAACTGAATCAACTTTTTTTGTCCCATTTAAAAACATACTGAAACTTATTGCACACTTTGAATCAGGATTTTGACTTGGTCTTTCTAGTACACCAACCCAGATCCATTATTCTGAAAAATCAGCTTGAACAAATATGCCCAGCAGGACATTAGGAAAAAGATTTCCAAGGCAGTGCAGCAGTGGGCCAAGTGACCAAGAGATGTGGTGGACAAAGACACAGTTCATTAACTCTTAGAGTTGGCAATAGCCTTGAGCAGGGCTCAATGACTTTTGGAAATCCCTTTAAGTCTACATGTAAGTTTCTACATGTCTACAGAGAGTCTGAATGAAGAAGCCCTCTGTCCAAGAGTCTTGAGACAGATTAACTGATCACAACTCACACTGGTAAGGAGGACAGTACCCCAGCTGTCACCAGAAAACAGTATGTACATACCACTGAAAATTTCCTATGAGACTGATGGTTTGGTCTGCATCAGAAGCCCAAGTGATGGGTCGCTGAACCACCACCTGGCGGAGTGTGAACACATGATCTCCCGGGTCAGAAGCATTTACAAAGTATTCAAATACACCCGTCTGATCTGCAAAATTTGGAGCTTCACTGAAAGGTGGATTACCTGTTCAGAAAATAAAATACACACCAAAACCAAAACATTATTTTTCTCCTGAGTGAAATTTCCTCTGAAAATACTCTCCAGAATTTTTACTTACTCTGTCAAAGCACAGTCTCCAAAACTGAAGTTTTGAGAGTTGAAAGGTGATTTTAATTTTGGGTCCTGTTTTTTAGCAGATCCCAGTTTTTGCAAACACCTGAACAAAGTAAATTACCTTCTTCGCTATCTTCCTTCCAAAAACTAGTTCGCTACAGTGATGAGCTGTATCATTTGCATCAAGAATTTTAAAACTGTTAGTTACCACCCAGTTAACACAGAGAATTACACACACCTCATTGCAAGTGAAGGATACAGGTCTAAGTTGCTGGAGAAGCAGGTATAAACAAACAAAAATAAAACACACATTCGGACTAATTCATGTCACTTACCTTAGAGGACTCAAATAACATTCTTAGTGCTTTTCTACATTAAGACTATATCTGTGTGTGAATTAAGTTCTTGGATATGAGAATTCTCACTTACGAATATTGAAATCATCTTTGTAATTTGAAGGAAAAGGCTGCGGTGGTGGAGGCTCTGGACAACCACATTTCTGCCCTGTCTTGAGTGTAGTTAAAGTGTAGACTTCATCAACATTTAGATCTAAAGAAAAACTTCCCTTCCACACCTGGAATTGAAGAAAGCTCAAGCTGCAAAATATCAAATAACTAAATAACAAAGTACCCAAGTTCCTGAATTAAAGGAGATCCACTAAAGTCCTGATTTAAGGCAAAAACACTACTTTTTGCCTCGCCATTTAGTATCTCCAAGCTATTTTGAAAACCCCTTTCCTCTAAACCTCCAGGTAAGCTTGTATATAGCTAGTAAAACTGTAGTCAAACGAAGATAATAAAACACACCCTAATTATGCAGCTTAGACATGAAACGCCAGGAGTTCCAGCAAAGGAGGAAAACACACCTGAAACTGCAGAAAGACCGTAATTAAAACTGATCAACTTACCTCTAAAGGATGGAGTTGCTGGAAAAGACTAGAGTTTCCAGATTCAAAATCAAGTCTAGAATGCCATACTTGAAGGGTTTTCACCATATACTACAATGAAACACAATATAAAATTAAACAAAAATAAACAACAAAAAACCCCTCAAAACACCTTGAATATTCACCTTGAGAAATATCTGTCCTCTAAGGGTGTTTAATTTTAGAGCTGTTGCTCACATTAGAGGCCACCCCCCCTCAAAACACCTTGAACATTCACCTTGAGAAATATCAGTCCTCTAAGGGTGTTTAATTTTTAGAGCTGTTGCTCACATTAGAGGCCACCACTCCATTCAGCTAGCCATTACATGAGACTTTTATACATTATACATCAATAACCCATTGTCCTAACATGCAGTAGCATTGCTTATAAAGACAGGAAGCATTGCAGTCACACATGCAATCTTTAGCTTCTCTATTACCAACAACAGTATCCCTCAGATCCAAGCTCTCTGCCTAAAAGTTGAAATAATCTACTAATTTTGCTTTAATGAGACCTTTAGTTTAGTTGCTGGTTCTCTGATACTGATTTTTGAGCAAAGCAGTTTAGATCGCCAAAATTCTGTGACGCTATGGCGTATCAACTGCATTAGTTACAGATTTTAACCATATCCAATCTCTATAATCTATTTTTAGTTACCCAGATGAACAACAAAGCAAGCAACCTGAAGTTTGGTTTAGGTAAACCATTTTATTTGCAGAAGTACTGTCCAAATGATTTCCTAAATGAAAGGAAACTAATGCCACCAAAAAACCCCCAAATTCCAAATAAGTAAACACTTTCAGCTTCTGAGAAGCAATCATCCAAATCAACTAACATAGATTCACTCTAGTTTATGCTATGAGAGTATTGTTCATATTTCAGACAGAAATTTAGTTTAGCAAGATTTAAAAAAGAAAAAACCAAACTACAACAGGGAGATTTTCAGACTACCTCTGCACAGGATGGAACAACATAACCTACAGTATACAATCAACTAAGGTTACTTCCCTGGAAAGGAGCGGGTCACAACTAGAAAGGTCATAGCCATGCTGGCTGGTCAAACTATGTCAGCATGTCAGAGCACCCAGCCTTGAAATAAAACATAGAAAAATCCAATTCCATTTCTGTTTTGGGAAATTATTTCATCAATATACAGATGGGGAGGTAGTAATTCCATTAATTCAGTTATGACATCACATCTCATGGCAAAAGCAGAACTAGAATGCTTAAAACTTTGCCAGGTGTGTAACAGCCTCTAGTATTGAAGGTAAGGAACTCCAATTTCTTGCTAACAGGTGATAGTCTTGCATGTATTTGATTACAGATAGCAATTAATTTTATACGACTGATCAGTTGTACTCAAGATCTACTTACAAACGACCCTTTGAGGTAGAAAGTTGCTCTCTGAGGTGTCACACTGAAATAAGGCAGTCGAGGCCTGATACATTGAGAGTGATTATGAGTCTGAAGAAAAAAACCAAATGTAACAGAAGGAACATAGATTACTGGAATGCATCACATGGCAGTGTTCACAAAAAAAATACTGCATAAATTGAAATTAAAAAAGCAACATAGGATCAATTTGCAACTATTGTTTCACTTATCTTAATGATAACTGCAATTACACTAGCTTAATAATTTTGAATACTGCTGAAAAAAGCACATGATTTAATTTCCTCCCAGTGTGTGTCATCAAATTAAAGCTAACTTGTGATATAAAGTTGATATATACATTGGTCTCCAGGAAGATTCAACCAGCTATTCAAAGTTTAGATAGAAAAAAGGACTTCTATTGGTCTCACTAACAAAGCTACAAGCAAAGAACGTATTCACAGATGCTAAACTACACAAACAGAATCAGTTTCTTCCAACAAAACATTTCATTTATCTTTTCTAGTTCATTGGAACTGCTGATGCACATACCATAGTTTCAATGATGATGGTAAGGTTTCCTAGGCCATCTGTCAGAGCTACAAAACTGCCACCTCCTTCTAAGTGTCCATCCACTTGCAAATATGACCAGCCTGGCCGAGTAAATTGTGTTGTGTGTGCTGACACCAAACAGAACAAATATCAGCAGAAAATATTTCTTATTAAGACTTAATTAATATCATTTGTAGTCTGAATTAAATTTCTCTCTCATACATGCTTAAACAACAAAAACTTGATTTTTGGGAAGAAAATAATGGAACTTCCAAAACAAATTCTACACACACAAGAGGGAAGATCAAAGAATTATACTACGGCACAGTTCAAAACATCAGCTTTGTGGCAGATGAAACAGTTAAAATGATAGCAATTACTTAGACAAGAAGAAAAAACTATTACATAACTATATAAGTCATTCATGTACATGCAATATGAATATTCATCACAGTTTAGATTTTCCTAAATATCTCTTTTTGTTTGTTTAAATAAAGTAAACAGTTGAGCCAGAGAAAGCATAAACAGGCATCTCCATGAGGAATAACTAAATAAGTAAGGTCTTCAGCATTTAAGAGAGAGTATCAAAGAAGAATGCAACCTAGATAATGAAAATCCTGAGCAACATGGAAACAGGAACAACTGCTCAGTTGTTCTGAACTGTTCATATGACAGTATGGCCTTTTTTTTTTTTTAATGCTTTTACATATACAGGCAACTAGGTCAACATTAAATAAATAAAGGCCTTGGAATATACAGTTATGCTCTGCGTTCTATCACCAAACTTCTACCTACAAACTTACCTGTAATCCAGATAGGAGCTTCTACTTTGTAGTGGCCACTCCATGGCTCTTGCGCTGTCATTAACCCACATCGACCAAAGGGCAGCTCTTCATAATAACTAGCCACCAAGTTCCATGCAATGGTTCTGGAAGAAAAACAGCTTTGTTTGCGCCAATCATATGGACAGCATTAGAGGCATTTAGTACAAGAACTTATTCCTTTCTTTTTCTCCAGTATACAACAAAAAGAGGTTTAAGGAAAAAAAAAAAAACACAAAAAACCCACAAACTTTCCAGCTAAAGGAGAAAAAAAAAAACCACACAGAAGAATAAAATAAACCAAATTGACTTCCAGTTGAGAAATTCTTACAAAACTGATGTTACATTCTCTGGCTATATCACCATAAGAAGCTGCACATTAAAGGAAATGTGTACTGAGCGTTAAAGACCCCGTTTGTACTTTTTTTTTTCTTCATGCTTTGAAGGGGGAAAATTAAGTAACCAATGTTTACAGCTTTTTTGTTGGGGTGTTTTGGCTTTTTTGATTGGTTGGTTGCTGCTGGTGGTAGGGATTTTTTGGGGTGGGGGGATGGATGACCGAGTGGTTAAGTACCACTAAAAAAAAAAATTTAAAAAAATAATCTTTCCTTTATCCATGTAAAGAACAAACATAAACCAACTCTAACCAGCCATCCTCCAGGAGCTGTTACTATTTCAAGAAGTTGTCAGGATACTAACAAGGTTAATTACTTCCAGTCTTTTGATTTCATCTTCATTGAAAAATCTTTTGCTAGGACTTTAAACTTAAGACCTCTGCACCATAAGTATGGAAATACAGCTTAACACAGCAGTTACGCAGAAAGCAAAAGCAGGCATGCTGTTCTGCTGTTGCGTACAGATGAGCACAAAGGCCTCATTCCAAAGTAACTGCCATAGATTTATCACATTATATATGCATGTCAGAAGAGATACTGAAATCCTGTAAAAAGATGCTCCCAAAATAAACAACTTTTGAGTTGTAAACTCAACTTGCTCACATTAAACTTGTTCTGCACAGTTTCAAACTTAGGAAAGGAATGTAGGGAACGAGTTCAAAGGAAACAAGCTTGGCAGGAAGATAAGCTGCCTTTCCTTAGGAAGACTCTGTTTTCAATATAAAAGCCAAGATAACTTCAATATATGGACTTGTATCCAGAAATTATTGTAGAATAGTTCCAATACACAAGCCTGGCTGTCAGGCTGCTAAACGAATGGGGCATATATAATTACAAAGGGCTTGCAAAAGAGAAAAACAATAGGAAAAGAAAGCTCCCAGAGTTAGATATTAAAGCATATGAGAGCCCAGAGGCAACTGGAACGGTCAGGAATTCACGTAGGAAATATTAATCTGTTCAAAAATTTCAGCTTCCATAAAAGGAGACAGAAGATTCATAGAAACCAGGTGACTCCAGAAACTACCATTTACAAGTAGCTAAGTGCTTGGTGCTGTGCTCCGTTTCAAGCATTTCAGACAAAGAGATTTCTCTTTATTGTTCCAAAATGAAGTTACATAAAAACTAAAAGCTTTGAACAAATTCGCTTACATCTTGATGCCTACATTTTCTTTAATAAGACTTCTTTTTTTTTTTTTTTTTCAGATTAGTAGCTGTTGCACTGGAAACATCAAAGTATGTTTCTGTTATGTAATTTCCCAGTAAACAGAACAGCTTTCTTCCAGATTTCGGTTTAGAAAGAAAATGTGCAGGGAACAGTAAACATATCAAAAGACTACAGCATGTTTTAGAATGGACTACCAGAAAGAAAAACTAGCTAATTACATCTATACCTACCACTTTTAACTGATAAAGACCTTCAGAAAATACAGATAAATTAGCTTTATTGTTATTTTTCTTCAATGTTTTTCATGTTGTTAGTTCTTAAGAACACTCTCTTCTTAACAAATATTATCAGTCTCAAAGGCATCTGAACCCAGCTGCATAAGCCATTGGATACCATGGAACAGTAACTCAATAATATATTAAAACTTGTGGGACTTCTACCCCAGAAAGAGGTAAGGACAGTAGACTTTATACCTTACGGTATTTGGATTCAGGCTGACAGTGAAGAGAGTTCCAGCTTACCTACTATCTTACCACAGCAGACAGATGTGTTATATAGTACTTTAAACAATTCTTACAGATGAAGTTGTGAAAGTGAGCAACAGTGCACAACACTTACGAGGTCATGTTTCCATTCACGTAGTTTTGGTTCAGGATCCGAGCCCAGCAGCCTGCACCTACTTCATCATTGAAAGTACTGTAATCTTCTGAAGACCACAGTTTCTTCTTAGTTAATAAGGCATTTGGCACTGTTTTTGTTCCAGGATAGTGAGCCCTACACAATATTTTAAAAAGAAAGAGCAGTTAGCACAAAAAGAAAAATCAAAGCCTGGAAGTACACACAGCAGCAATGATTCACCTTCTCCGAACTGAAAATGAAAAACAAACTTTCTTTGGAATAACACTAATGGGATAAAAGAAAATGGAATGAGAGTGTGCTATAATATTCCCTAGCTTATTGTATTTGCCTCAGTAGATTATTTCTTCCGATACATGCCAGCATATAAGTAAGCTTAGCTTTAAATATATCACACAGTTTCTGTAGCTTGCTAAAGTAAAGCTTTATCCTGACATTGAGCTTGAAGATTGTCATAACTGTAATGTGCTAAATAGAGAAAATACATGCTACCTTGTACTATCTTAAACAAAACAACAAATAACCACAGAATCAACAGTAAGATACAGTATTAGGTATTATTCTAAGAACTTAACTGCACGAACGTCTGAGAACCTGACTAATTTTGCACACCTTTTGTCCTGGGTTACAGTGTAAAATGTG